TCTTTATATTCTTGAAACTGCGACTTTCGTAAAAACGAATCCTGATCTTTTCCCACGTCTGTCTGACACTGTGCCTCGGAATAGACGGGATAACAGCAGACTTCGCCTGAAACCCGCTAGGACTGCTCTTATGCACAAAAACGTTTTTTGTATGGCGCCAATAATTTATAATAAAATTCCACGGGATTATAAATGTTTAAACACCAATATGTTTAAGATAAAAATGAGACGCTTACTAGCAGAAAAGTGTTACTATTGTTTGAATGACTTTCTGGCTGACACTACTTTTTGACACTGTATTAATAAATGTAGACCGTAATAATATTTAATAATACTTTTTGACATCTTAATATGAATTGTAATTATTATAAATTGAATTTGTACGCCCCTAAGGGCAAAACATGTATGGACACTGATTTTAAACAATTAACATCTTGCATGCTTTTGTATGAATGACACATGTTTATGCAAATAAAAAAAAAACACCGAATCCCATTAACGATTTATGCACTTTTGACAATCTAATACATAAGTAGGTACCTATTAGTAATTCGTTGACTTATAAAACAGCAAATTAATGAGTTGAAAACTGCACCGAATACGAACCATTAACAACCTAAAATCTTTAAAACACACGATTTAATGTACCTCTAAAATGGTGGGAACCAAAATTTAAAAGCGTAAAATACTTGAAAAATACAACGTTACCAAGTTTGTCTAAGACCCACGCCATCTATCGCTAAGTAGCGTAACTAATACATAGGTACCAATTAGTAATTTGTTGATTTATAAAACAGCAAATAAATAAGTCGAAAAGTGCACCGAATAGGTACCATTTGCAACCTAAAATCTATAAAATACACAATTTAATGTGAAGTGGTAGGAACCAAAATTTAAAAGCGAAAAATGCTTGAAAAACACAACGTTACCAAGTTTTTTCAAAGACCCACGCCACCTATCGCTAAGTAGCGTAACTAATACATAGGTACCAATTAGTAATTTGTTGATTTATAAAACAGCAAATAAATGAGTCGAAAAGTGCACCGAATAGGTATCATTTGCAACCTAAAATCTATAAAATACACAATTTATGTATAATGGTATGAACCAAAATTTAAAAGCGAAAAATGCTTGAAAAACACAACGTTACCAAGTTTTATCAAAGACCCACGCCATCTATCGCTAAGTAGCGTAACTAATACATAGGTACCAATTAGTAATTTGTTGATTTATAAAACAGCAAATAAATGAGTCGAAAAGTGCACCGAATAGGTGTATCATTTACAACCGAAAATCTATAAAATACACAATATAATGTAAAATGATAGGAACCAAAATTTAAAAGCGAAAAATACTTGAAAAACACAACGTTACCAAGTTTTTCAAAGACCCACGCCATCTATCGCTAAGTAGCGTAACTACTACATATGTACCAATTAGTAATTTGTTGATTTATAAAACAGCAAATAAATGAGTCGAAAAGTGCACCGAATAGGTATCATTTACAACCTAAAATCTATAAAATACACAATTTATGTATAATGGTATGAACCAAAATTTAAAAGCGAAAAATGCTTGAAAAACACAACGTTACCAAGTTTTATCAAAGACCCACGCCATCTATCGCTAAGTAGCGTAACTAATACATAGGTACCAATTAGTAAGTCGTTGACTTATAAAACAGCAAATTAATTAGTTGAAAACTGCACCTAATACGAACCATTAACAACCTAAAATCTTTAAAACACACGATTTAATGTATAATGGTAGCAACCAAAATTTAAAAGCGAAAAATGCTTGAAAAACACAACTTTACCAAGTTTTGTCAAAGACCCTCGCCATCTATCGCTAAGTAGCGTAACTAATACATAGGTACCAACCGTACCAATTAGTAAGTCGTTGACTTATAAAACAGCAAATTAATGAGTCGAAAAGTGCACCGAATAGGTACCATTAACAACCTAAAATCTATAAAATACACAATTTAATGTAAAATGATAGGAACCAAAATTTGAAAGCTAAAAATACTTGAAAAATGCAACGTTACCAAATTTTTTAAAGACCCACGCCATCTATCGCTAAGTAGGTAGTTAAGGTTGTTAAAGGTACCTATTCGGTTCACTTTTCGACTCATTTATTTGCTGTTTTATAAGTCAACGAATTACTAATTGATACCTTATATATATTAGTTACGCTACTTAGCGATAGATGGCGTGGGTCTTTAAATAATTTGGTAACGTTGTGTTTTTCAAGTATCTTTCGCTTAGAAATTTTGGTTCCTACCATTTTACATTAAATTGTGTATTTTATAGATTTTAGGTTGTTAATGGAACCTATTCGGTGCACTTTTCGACTCATTAATTTGCTGTTTTATAAATCAACGAATTACTAATTGGTACATATGTATTAGTAGTTACGCTACTTAGCGATAGATGGCGTGGGTCTTAGAAATAATTGGTAACGTTGTGTTTTTCAAGTATTTTTCGCTTTTTAATGGTGGTTCCTACCATTTTACATTTAAATTATGAATTTTATAGATTTTAGGTTGTTAATGGTTCGTATTCGATGCAGTTTTCAACTCATTAATTTGCTGTTTTATAAGTCAACGACTTACTAATTGGTACCTATGTATTAGTTACGCTACTTAGCGATAGATGGCGTGGGTCTTTGACAAAACTTGGTAAAGTTGTGTTTTTCAAGCATTTTTCGCTTTTAAATTTTGGTTGCTACCATTATACATAAATTGTGTATTTTATAGATTTTAGGTTGTAAATAATACCTATTCGGTGCACTTTTCGACTCATTAATTTGCTGTTTTATAAGTCAACGAATTACTAATTGATACCTATGTATTAGTTACGCTACTTAGCGATAGATGGTGTGGGTCTTCATTAAACTTGGTAACGTTGTGTTTTTCAAACCTTTTTCGCTTTTAAATTTTGGTTCCTACCATTTTACATTAAATTGTGTATTTTTTACATTTTAGGTTGTTAATGGTACCTATTCAGTGCACTTTTCGACTCATTTATTTGCTGTTTTATAAATCAACGAATTACCAATTGGTACCTATGTATTAGATTGTCAAAAGTGCATAAGTCGTTCATGGGATTCGGTGTTAAATGTTATAACAAAATCCCCCAAGAAATACTGCATCTAAATAAAAGAAAATTAAAACTATGTATTAAAAAAACGTTACGTAGACAAGCATACTACAAACTAAATGATTAGTTATATAGAGGATAAAAGTGCTTGGAGGCAGGCTGGTCCAGCTCCGCAGGATAGATAATACATGAATCACAGTGATGTTCCATGAATTCTATTTGTGTAATAATATAATCATGTTGCTTGAATATTTGTATAGTTTAAAACTTTGCACAATTTACTGTAAATGTGAGAGCCCTGTAATAAATTAAATCAAATTAGACTAGTAGAATGCATTTATGTCAGCTTGGAGCTGTCATGCTCACTCAAAGATATCGTTGGCGGTGGCACGTGCATTGGATCGCTCGATTCCCTACAATATGGTTGAGTTGGGCGGTGCTGGGGTACGCCAAATGTTCGTGAACGGGCACCGTCAATTGGAACTGGTCAGCTCCAGACTATCATTTTATTATCCACAAGGTTATTTTCTTTTTCAGTCTCTTTGACTGGATTTAGGTGTTGCATTGTTCTCACACAATCGAACCAATAAAACTATGTAACTAGAGTATTTTATTGTAAACATGATTGAAAAAGAGTAACCTATGGAGTTTCTTGCTCATTCTTCTCCATAGGAATCTACACCTTGGAATGAGCAACTAGCTTCACTTCTAAATTTTTGTTGTTTGACGTTCAAAAGCGCCATACTGGTCTAATTGCAATAAATGACTTTGACTTTAGTTACGCTACTTAGCGATAGATGGTGTGGGTCTTTGTAAAACTTTGTAACGTTGTGTTTTTCAAGTATTTTTCGCTTTTAAATTTTGGTCCCTACCATTATACATTAAATTGTGTAGTTTATAGATTTCAGGTTGTTAATGGTACCTATTCGGTGCACTTTTCGACTTATTTATTTGCTGTTTTATAAGTCAACGAATTATTAATTGGTACCTATGTAATAGTTACGCTACTTAGCGATAGATGGCGTGGGTCTTTGAAAAAACTTGGTAATGTTGTTTTTTCAAGCATTTTTCGCTTTTAAATTTTGGTTCCTACCACTTCACTTTAAATTGTGTATTTTATAGATTTTAGGTTGCAAATGGTACCTATTCGGTGCACTTCTCGACTCATTTATTTGCTGTTTTCAACAAATTACTAATTGGTACATATGTAGTAGTTACGCTACTTAGCCATAGATGGCGTGGGTCTCTAAATAAACTTGGTAACGTTGTGTTTTTCAAGTATTTTTCGCTTTTAAATTGTGGTTCCTACCATTTTACATTAAATTGTGTATTTTATAGATTTTAGGTTGTTACAGGTAGGTACATGAAATCATAGCGTCAACAATACTCAACAATTAGCAAATAAATAGCTCGCTCTTGTTTCAACGCTCGAAAGATGGCGTAAGTTTATAAGCACCCAGCGCCATCTATCGTTAAGTAGCGTAACTACTACGTAGGTGCCAATAAGTGATTCGTTGACTTATAAAACAGCAAATAAATGGGTCGAAAAGTGCACCGAATAAGTGTAGGTAGCGCTATAGATTAAAGCGTGATATTTCTAATTAGTGGGTAATTCGTTGACTTGAATAAACTTTGCATATAAACAACGTCACATGACTTACGGCGCCATCTATACCAATATTTTTGTTTTCCCTCGGAAATATCAAATTTTTCTGGGATATAAAGTCTGCAGCTTTTCAAAACAATCGATTTAGTAGTTATAGCGTGAAAGCGGAACAAACACACTCACTTTCCGATTTATAATATTATGGTAAGGATTAAATCTGTTTAATACACCAATCCACCAACAAATGGCGTTGTCACCAACCCAATGAAATGAAACGACAAAGTTATCATAACACCAAATATTTTAATAATAATAAAAAACATTTATATTTAACTGAATGTCGGGAGATCACAGTGTTTTTTCCTAACATGGAACCGCAGGGAAGTATTATATTTCGTTGCGAATGGGCATACTTCACATTTAAACCTCTTTTCCGTAGAATGTTTATATTTATGTTGAACAAGATTGGCCGGTAGAATTGTGGCGTAATCGCATTGATCACACATGTATCGCTTCTTTCCTGTTTCATGAGCTTCTTCGTGATACTTCAAAATGTATTTATTCATCGTTTGGAAGGGGCACTGGGTACATTGGAGTTTCACTCCCTGGTCAGCATGCTTTCGCTTATGCTTCTCCATAGCACCTTCATAAAACGTCTTGTACTTGCATCCCGTGTAATCACAATTTAGTGTTTCAGCGTTCTTATGCCGTAACATATGTTGAGTCATACTGACTCGGATATTCGTTTTAAACTCACAATATTTACAATGCATCTCCGTAACAGTGTGAAGAGCTTTTATATGTTTTTGTAACTCATACCCGGGGAGTATTTCCCCACAAATCTGGCATTGAGTCTCTTGAATATTGTGATGGTTCGCTTCGTAATGCAACTTCAGCTGTTCCCACGTTAAGAATGTCTCCGGGCACTTTGTGCACTGGAAACTATCCTTTATATCTTGATCCTCTCTTTTAATTTCTACTTCTGTTTCTTCTTTACTCACATCCTCCGTACCATGTACCACATTTATATGCTTACACAGATCAAATTCGTCCTTAAACGTCTCATTGCACTGATCACATTTCTGTGGTTGAGCATTGAAATGATTTGCATTCGGATGCTTTATAAATATATGTCGTCTATAACTCTCTTTAGCTTTGAAAATTTTCTTACAATATCGACATGTGTACGATACTTTTAAATGCACCTTCATGAAATGCGGCTTCAACTGTCTCTTATCATGGAATCCCTCGTTACATAAGTTACAGAAGACAGTCTTCGGTGAGTCTAATTTGTGTGTGCATCTCAAGTGCTTAGCCAAACCACCCTGTGATGCAAATATCAGTCCACAAATATTACATTCCTTAACTTCCTTCGTATGAGAGTGGTTGAGATACATCTCTCGCGTATCAAACTGTTTGTTGCACACTTCACAGTGAGATCGCTTGTCATGTTTTCTCCTCACATGCCTCTTCAAACTCTCAATTTTATCGTAAGACAAGTTACAGATCCGACACTTCAATCTGAAATCTTCTTTCAGAGCGTTATGCTTCCTCCTCATGTGCAGTTTCAAGAAGTTGATAGAAGAGAAGACTAGAGGGCATTCTTTACAAGTAATCTCACCAGTTTCCTGATTCTTGCAGCTCTCCAAATAATCATCTATCTTTTCGCTTTTGATATCCTCATCAGAAACATGATGTTTCCTCTGCACATGTCTCGCATAAGTTTCTCTTTTAGTGAATATTTTTGGACAGAACGGACAGTTGTACCATTGGTTAAGTTCTGGCTTTTTATAATTAGAATGTTTGCGTTGTATATGGACTATCAAACTTCTGTACTTATCATAAGTTAATCCGCAATCTTCACAGACATGTTTGAAGGATTCCTGAAAGGCTCCATGCTTTCTTCTCATGTGCATTCTTAACCGGGTCATTCCTTTAAACACTAGAGCACATATGTCACAAGTCCTTTCTTCTCTGTCATCTGGCATGGAGTTAGGTCCATGTTTCCTCTTGATGTGAGCGACTAAGCTGTTCTTCATTTCATAGGACATGCCGCAGTAATCGCAGATGTGTTTAAATGACTTTCTGAATGACTTGTGCTTCCTCTTCTGATGCATCCGAAGAGTTTTCTGTGATTGAAAGACTAGATGGCAGACTTTGCAGACATGGCTGGGTCCTTGTTCGAGTGGCAAGTCTTGGTTGAATAAGTCGGATTGATCTAAAAGTTGTGGTCTATTGTTGATGACGCTTTCAAATGTGAGTAGGACCGCTTCATGGTTTTGTTGTTCTATCTTCACAGCTGGTTCTTGACTATCCTCGCTGTGAGGACCTTCGACCATCAGCCCACTGCTATCAGCGAACTGGAATGAAATTAAATACGGTTTAATTTTGGTACTATACAAAAGTAAATGTACTATGTATTTATTGTGATCATTCTCAGTTCATCAAAATGATCACAAATTTAACATCGGGTGACTGTCTCGTTGGCTTTCGCCCACTTGGAGCGCAAGTACGACTGCCAGGCAAGGTGTCTTGGGTTCGATTACCGAGTCAGGCAAACTATTACTGGGTTTAAAAAAAATCCCAGTAGCACGGAGTTTGGAATTGTCCCCGGTATATGGCAATAGGCTCACCTCCTCATGGGACATGGGACTAATAACATAAATAGTGAAAAGTGTTACATTGTACAGTGGTATTAAGCGCTGTAATATGCACCTCTGCCTATCTCTTCAGGGGATAAAAAGGCATGATGTTATGTTATGTCTCATGTTTAATATAATTTGAATGTCAGGAAAAGATCTTTTCGATGTCGATTTTCCGAAAACTTTCTTCTAATACATTGTATAACACCAGATAGAATAGTTTAACGATAGATGTGTGCACAAAAGTGGATGAGAAAGTAACTAAATCAATTTTAAAAATGTGTCGAGTAACTATAGTTGACCACAGTATATCTTGTCTATCCCTATTTCTTATACATATAATACTTGTTTTTAGAGAGCCACACAATTATTATAAATGTAATTTGGATGTTTGTCCGTCAATCATTTTGAAACTACTGAATGGACTATGATGAAACTTAGTATACTGACAGGGTATGCGCTGACCTTGGTGATAGGACTTTTTAGCCCGATGAAATGCTCCCATGAAATAAAATAAGAATCATATTCTATGCAGACCAAGTCACGGGAAGAGTAACAAATACTCACATCATTAAAATCCAACTGCACTTCAATATCTTCAACCTTAATTTTAACTTCAGGGTCCAGCAGAGTGAGAGGTTCCACTTTCACATCAACCTTATCATCAATATCCTTGAAAGGGTCTTCCTGGTGCTTTTTCTTCTTTTTCTTTTTCTTCTTAATTTCATAAGACATTGGCTCCTCGGGCAAAAATGAGGTAGGATCCTTTCTTGAGTCAACTTTCTCAATCTTAACTTTAACATCAAATAAATCTTCCATTTTTATTTATTTGTTTTATAACTGTAAAAGAAGAAAATTATATCATTAGTGAAAAGTTTATAAGATAGCTTAGTGAGACTGTTGATCTAAAGGTCTTGGGTGCTTCCTCAAGTATTTAAAAGTTTTAATTGTAGTTATTATCAAGTCAAGATTAGTTCGGCCAAGAGGGCACTTTAGAATGTCAAAAAATAATAACACAAGCATGTCTTTTTTATAATCAAGGAAAAATAATAAAATTATCTGTTCATTGTTTAGTCTGATAGTGTTAGTGAGTAAAATAAGAAAAAAATAGTTATGTGCTTCAGTTGGGGAATTAATAATTCCAATAGACCAAAATTACTTTTTTTATTTATTTCTTCTTTACCAAAGATAACAGTGAATGGCGGACTTAATGCCTTAAGGCAGGCCTTTTTTAATTAACATACAGTTGAAAAGCTGTACATGTTCATAAATTTTCTTATTAGTTAAATTAATTGCAAAATTTGTTCCGATACCCAATTGGCGATAATAAGAAAATATTTATTCTTATCAATATTAATATGTATAAATTCAGCATACATTTATTTATACTTATAAAGTGATTATGAGTTAAAAGTAACATTCATATTAATTTTATTGTAATTATAAATATATTGACCTACTGACCACATTGTTTAATATTTGTAACGCAAATGTATCTGTCTGTATGTTTTACACTTTCACAAACAAACCACAACAGCCATGTAATTTAATATGAATATCATACTTTACGTAGTACCTGGGACATACAATATAGAACACAATGTTTCTAGGTATATTTGTATATTAGGGTATTAGGTCGACTGATTGGTACGGCTCTCCATGTGTGACTGGCTACATTTACATGTCATGACATAATCTATGTCCCTACACTACTAATATTATAATGCGAAAGTTTCATCAAAATGGTTCAAGGGATTGGGATGAACTTTGGTACAAGGGTATATTATTATCCTACAAGAATGCGATGAAACCGCTGACAGAGGCTAGAACATTTATATACAGAAAAAAAAAATTACTGAGACAGACGAACGGACAATTCAATTTTTAACATTTAAAAATTTACTAATTAAGGATTCATTGAAATTAATGCTTTGACTTTGAGTTTAAAGAGTTGGCCTATGGTTGCTTGGGATCTCTTTTTCTTCTTTCAAAAAAAAATATAAAACAATTAAGAACAGATTTAAGTAAATAAAATAAATCAGATTTTTCTGATGCACAAATTAATTTTGATGTTTCCAAGTGCCTTTAAATTAAATAAGATAATTTGAAATAAATGTTTTGACTTCAATTACGGAGTTGCTAACTTTTTTGAGCTTAATGAGTGATTCCTTTTTTTTTGAGGCGGAAAAATCCTCTGCCTTCTACCGCCTTTAGTGAGGCAAGAGAGAGCGCCAGTGACTCTTACTGACTGAAAACCACTCCCGTTCCTAATCCTGCTTTAAGCTGCTTTTTTGTCTATAGCTACGAAAAATGAGATTATTTGGGGTTTCTATTCATATTGTATTTTCAAAAACATGTTTAAATATAAAATAATATAGGTATATATAAATCTTAGTGATTAAATTAAAAGATTTTAAAAATAAAAGTACTATAGGTAAGCAACTACTTTAAGGTATCACAAAATCTGTACAAAATAAAAAATCTAAATTAATTTAGGCAATTGGGCCTCCGGTAACCTCACTCACACGACTAAACACAATACAAGCTGTTGAGCTTGCAACTAGCAACAGCTATAATAAAAAACAAATATTCATTTCATTCTATAAAACAAATGAGTGATAATTTTACTAGTTTTAAGCTAAATAAACAAATGAAGGATTTATTTTCTAGAAGCACTAAAGTTGCTATCTAAAAGATAATACAATAATATAAACTTAACACTGTGAATACTATTAAGAAAAAACTTAAATATGAGATAATACTATAAATAACCCTCTGAAACACACTCAAGGACGCCTGGATAATAAAACATGATATTAAATTAAGGCAAAACATTCAAATCAAGTTTATTCAGTAAAATGTGAAGATTTATGAAAAAGTTTTGGTTATTATTTAATATTAGTGATACATAAAGGTTATTAAGTGCTAACCACGAATGATATAGCGAAATACACGTCATTTAGTCATAAAACTCACCTAGTTTATCATCAATATTTTATTCTAACGATGTAATTCACAACTTATGTTACAATAGTAATAACTTTCAACAAAAACTCATTTTGTACAAACTTGTAACTAATTGCACTATACACTATACGTATTTTACCAACACCTTTGTGATAAAAATCAATAATTTTGTATTATAACAAATATCATTATGAAAAATGGCCAAGTCAATAGTGGCCTTTTTAGCGAAAACTGACGTTTTCAAGATTTTTTTGACATTTGTTCTACAGTGTTGTCATATTCATATTAGATTCATAATCTACGGTCTTATTAATTCTTATTAGAGATTCTAAGATTTTTTTCTTTTGAATATTCGTTTGATGAATAGTTTTCTTTGGGTTGATACTTGTTATTTTTTCAACGTCCTTGTTTGTTTCTTATTTATTAGAAGACAAAAACAAGTAAAAATTGCACACGCATCATCTGTCGCCTTGCTTATTGTCGTTAGCTCCATACGTATCCCTACCTACCTTAACTTACGGAGCTGCCGAGGGCTTAACGGGTTGCTGGAGGCTCCCGCTTCAAGGGTAAAAGTAGAAACTAGGTGATTTTTAGTTAGTAATAGTCTGACACTCTTGCTTCAACCAAGGCTGGAGAAGTCATTGGACGATTTTTCCTCCCAACAAAATATTTAAGTACCCTTAACGTTCGCCTTTAGTTATACCCTTTGCCTTAACGCTCCTATCAATCCTATCAGAGCCGTATTTATCTTCTAACGTACGTATTTAGTGTATAGAGTGCCTGGGGGCGTGTACCGTGTACCCGACTGCCCTTAGAATGTCGGCGGTACCAAGAACAGTAGAAGAGCGTATGAGGTGCCTAGACCTAGGGCGCACTCTTGATTTAATCAGCCTCTGACCCTCATATTGCCATCTTTGACTTGTAACTCGACGTATTCTTCTCGGGAGGTGACAATAGAATTAATTTCCTATAAAATTAGCCCCGAAGTCCTTAGTCTGAAAGTGAGTAGTTTCTGCGCTATTTAACATTTTCGGTTTTGGTGAAAAAATCCCGATATAACCACAAAAACATCAATAAATAAAAAACTACTGGTTTGATTTAAGTCATTTCAGTTTTAATTTGTTGTCAGTATAGTAGGAGATCCCGCCTTGAACGACCTTCACCGAGATGCTTATTTGATGAAACTTATTTTATATTCAATTTAATATGTCAATAATTATATTCCGTATGGGTTGCCTAATAAATTTCAGTCCAGAACATGACTAATTATTAATTTAAAAAATATATTTTTTCAAATGTTTCACCGGTTTGACTATTAAACAAATTCCATTTCAATCGAAAGTATGAAGCCCATAGAATATGGAAACGTTAGGTTGCCTATTGTATTCCAGTCATAACTCTCGGGTTGCCAGGTCTAAACAGGTAAATTTATAGTAGGATTTTGCAACGGTCTGATAATTTAATCAAATTTAATTAAAAATAAAGATTATTTAATTATGAACACGGTAAAGTAGGGTTGCCTGCGAAAAATCAGTCCTGAATTAGGGTTGTCGAATTTTAAAAAGTGAAATATTGCCGCGAGTGAATAGGTAAGACTGAGAGGTCCCAAGCAACCGTTCCGTGCGTTAGAAGAGGACAGAGCATAACAGCTGCTTTTTAATGCTGCTGCTGCTATTTTTGTGTCATTAACAGAAGCTGCTGATATTTTCATTGAAGATAAAATAAAAATAGTTCAAGAATTTATAGCTTGTATGTACATATGGGATTAAGAATTGCACTAATGTGAATAATGCAAGATATCGCATTATTATGAAAAATTACTCTGCTAAAGAAGACAGTGAGCAGTTTCTAAAAAAAACACCTCCGGGTGGGTCTCAAATAACGGCACGAGGGGTTACCATCGGCGTCGAGACGACGATGAAGTACCCAAAAAATTTTTATTAAAAAAAATGAAAAGCAATTAAAAAAATCACTGTTTATATAAAGAAATATATTTTTTTATTATTCAGCTCCTGAGTCATCGGAAATAAAGCTTAGATCTTCGACACCTGCACCTTCTTCGTCATCTCTCTCTGTTTCGCTTCTTTCGACAATATCATCTATTCTTAAAGGTGTATGATCCCCAATGAATCCTCGTGGTTTTAAATATTCATCTAAGTACCAACCACAGCTCTCAGGTTTAAGTTTGATACATATTGGATCTGTTGCATTCAGCCACATCGAATTTACTTAAATAGTTTGTAAAACTTTTTGTGGTAATGATATCCAGCACGGAGGTATGGAGTTAGAGTCAAAGCCTTTGATTTTTTTTAGAAACTGCTCACTGTCTTCTTTAGCAGAGTAATTTTTCATAATAATGCGATATCTTGCATTATTCACATTAGTGCAATTCTTAATCCTATACATACAAGCTATAAATTCTTGAACTATTTTTATTTTATCTTCAATGAAATTATCAGCAGCTTCTGTTAATGACACAAAAATAGCAGTAGCAGCATTAAAAAGCAGCTGTTATGCTCTGTCCTCTTCTAACGCACGGAACGGTTGCTTGGGACCTCTCAGTCTTACCTATTCACTCGCGGCAATATTTCACTTTTTAAAATTCGACAACCCTAATTCAGGACTGATTTTTCGCAGGCAACCCTATTTTACCGTGTTCATAATTAAATAATCTTTATTTTTAATTAAATTTGATTAAATTATCAGACCGTTGCAAAATCCTACTATAAATTTACCTGTTTAGACCTGGCAACCCGAGAGTTATGACTGGAATACAATAGGCAACCTAACGTTTCCATATTCTATGGGCTTCATACTTTCGATTGAAATGGAATTTGTTTAATAGTCAAACCGGTGAAACATTTGAAAAAATATATTTTTTAAATTAATAATTAGTCATGTTCTGGACTGAAATTTATTAGGCAACCCATACGGAATATAATTATTGACATATTAAATTGAATATAAAATAAGTTTCATCAAATAAGCATCTCGGTGAAGGTCGTTCAAGGCGGGATCTCCTACTAGTACGTCAATAATGGCAATGGCGTCAATAGGGCAATGCTGCCAGCCTTCTGGGTACTTTCCCTACTGATGTTGATGCGGACTAATTTTTCGATGCTTTATGTAAATGTTGTTTTTAGTTTTATTTAATTTAGAAATAGTTAGTACCTATTAATTTTATTTAAGATTTTATTTGTAGGTAATCGAATTAGTATAAAGAATCCGAACACAATATTTGACAAAGAAGCTGCGATTGTCAATGTCAATAATTGTCAAAATAAATGTCAATTTCGCAGGTTATATCGCGATAATTTTCCAACCAAACAAAAAAATAAAATAAGAATTAATTCTATTGTATTCATGTGATTACATGATGTTTCAAACCGCATTAAAACGTTTTCTAGTGTTGCAAAAAATCAAGCCGTTTCAGGCGCCGGTTTCGGCACAAATTAGAAAAATTCACGTGACATCGAGTGAGTTTCAAATATGTTTTATTTACATAGGTGTTAATTATGTAAATATAGATATTAATGTTAATATTTTTACAGATTTAAGGCATGGGGAATATGAATGGCAAGATCCTAAGTCTGAAGATGAGGTGTAAGTATTAAAAAGGTGTAATTTGCGTTGTAAGGTTAAGCGGTTATCGCCAAATTAGTGGTATCTTGAAATTGCTGTTGTTTGTATAATTTTTATAGCAATAAAAATAAAAATAAAAATTTCATTGATAAGTGGGCTAAAGTGTCATGAAGTTCAAGTCGTGTGTTGTTTAACTAGTTTAATTTTAAGTAAGACAGTAAATAAGCTCACAATATTTGGCAACTTAAGTGTAGTACTTACAATATAATACAATATACTAAATAACTTAAGAAATACTGATAATGTTGATAAATGGGAGAAGGGTTGTTTAATTTTGAGATATAAAGACTGACAACTGTTGAGAAAGAGGCATGTAAGAATTGGTGTTCTATAATCTCTGCCTACCCCCATTGGAGATAGGCGTGAGGTTATGTATGTATGTATGTAAAGTTCAGGTAAATATTGAGATAATTAGATAAGTAATAAAAAATATTATTAAATAGAGATGTTGCAGTTTATTTCTGGCTTATCAAAATTATTACATCATATTTTTCATAAACCTTTGGTATCAACAATATATTTCTTTTCTGTAAAAAGATAAGTGCAGCGCATATAGTATAACTATTTAATATTCTTATTAGACATCATTTCTAATAGGACTATTTCCATTTAGCCAAATTACTTTCGACGAATGTGTAAATTGTTAATTTTCTACTGCTTATTTATAATACTTCAGGAAAACAAAATGGAATTCAAATAATTTCACCTTATTTGACACTTACTAATAATTTTTTTCTTTTTATTTTCAGTGTGAACATAACTTATGTAGACAAAGATGGTAACAGAATTAAAGTAAGAGGGAAAGTAGGTGATAATGTAATGTACTTAGCACATAGGCACGACATTCCCATGGAAGGTAAGATCTTAATATTTTTCTTCAACACAATCTACTTATATAAATAAAAATAAATTTCCGTTCGATAATGTTACTAAAACTGGCTAATTTTGCTCTTGAAATGTTTGCGGAGGTCCAGGGAAGGATTTAAATTTTTTTTAGGCGGTACTAAGTTTTCCGCGTCGCGACGCGGCAAACTCAAACCTAGTACCGCCTACCGAGGTCTCGGTCAGTGGGTCATCTTAGGGGCAAGGACAGAAAAATTTTCATCAAAAATGAATATTCTTATAAATGGCTATTTTTTCATTTCCATCGCTTAAATAATAATAAAGTGAAAATCATCTGGACACCTTTTGTCTAGGATTTTAGCCAAATGCTACTTTGCTTGTCTACAGAGAGAGTAGACATCAAAATGTATGGGGATGACACTGACAACTGTCAAAATTTACGTCAATTCCATAAAATTTGGTTTTCTATTCTACATGTAGACAAGCGCTAAGTGGCATTTGGCTGGTGGTGTAGGTTCGCCTGAAAATGAGCTCTAAAGTCCTCGCGCCATAGCGACCCTAAGGCTACACTCTAACCTCCGCGTCAGCTACTACTTAATAATTATGTCCGTCCATATTCTTACACTATTCTTATTAGCTTTATTTACTACCTACTTTTATTACGAGTAACTAACTTAAAGAATTAAGTGCTACAGTGATAAGTGAATGGAGACTTCCCTAAGTGCCTACTGAAAAAACTTATATATAATAATCCAGCCATGATTTGTAATACCTCATACATGAATATCAAATTAATTTTCACAAACTATTTTAATTTCAACTTGAAATGTTCATGGGTCTCAATCGTAACTATTTTATAAATTATTCATCTTGACATGAGTTCATTTCAGTCCTCTGTCTGACATAGGCCACTTCAATAGTGACCCACTGAACTTAAACTGTCAAACACCGCGCGGTCACCGACGACCGCAACCTATTGTTCTTTAAACTGTCAAACACCTTGCGGTCACCGGTGACCGCAACCCATTGTTCTATACTATAATTGTGTCTATAATGACGGTACTCGACGAGTTAATTGTGTCTATAATGACGGTACTCAATATTGCTGCCATTAGAAAACTGTTGAAGCCAATACCTTCGCTAACGTCGGTCACCGGTGACCTATGGCGTTTGACATGTTAACGTCTTAAACTCTATAATTACTTTTTGCATTCTGTTTCATTTTCAGGAGCCTGTGAAGCTTCACTAGCTTGCACAACGTGTCATGTCTATGTTCCACCAGATTACTTTGATAAACTACCCGCATCAGAAGAGAAAGAAGATGACTTACTAGATATGGCTCCATTTTTAAAAGAAAACTCTAGGCTAGGTATGTTTAAAATTTTCTTAGACCTGAGAGAGTGTTATAAAAGTGCTTGCACCATCAAACTTACCTTTAAATGATTTTTCAAACATATCACCAGCTTCACTGACAATTCAATTTGATGATTTAAAAGTGCTTTATTAGGGATTCATTGTAATAAATGTTTTGACTTTAAAGTACCGCTAAAACCACCATATAATTTGATAATGTCTACAATAAAACACTTGTACACCAATTCCTCCGTCTAGTCTAGAAATTGTTTCTAGTTTTTAAAACATTTTTTTCTGGCAGACGCAACCTCACGCATGAACAGCTGTCAACAAAATGACCAGTAATATCTCAAATACTTATGTATTTTACTTTTACCCACATTTTTTAAAAATCGAATATAACTTTGTTTTTGGGGGCCTTTTGTTATGCTTGAATGTCAGTATATGAGACAATAAAAAACACATTGGGCCTGTCTCGCATAGATCTGCATTCCAGCATACAACGGGTTAAGTAGTGGATGTATTCAGGCTGATGCAGAAGACATTTTTACTAGTAATGTTTGTTCTTCTCTTATTTCCAGGTTGTCAAATAACGCTCACCAAAGATTTAGAAGGCATGGAAGTACAGTTACCGAAAGCAACAAGAAACTTTTATGTGGACGGACACAAACCTAAACCGCACTGAAATGAAAAATAAATATGTTGCATTGTGAACAATAAGGTTAGCTAGCACTTGTAAAGACTTTATTTAATGGCCACAAACTGTCCAGTTAGCAGATTGTCATCGTCTTCAGCAACTATAAGTATATGTAGTGATTTATAGAATTTTGTAATTTCTAAGAGAAATTATGTATTATGGCTGTTTTTATATTATCTGTGCAATGAATTCCAATATTTAGTAAAAAAGTAATAATTCTGTATAATTGGCTGCTAATTGCTATATATTTTTAAATTATATGTTGGTTTAAATTTGAAAATCGCTGGATGTAAAAATTATACATGGAGTTGATTGAACAAATATATCTAGGTCTGAGTTAGGAAAACAAATTCTTGAAATTCCAAAACACAAACATGTTTACTCCAATTTTCGGTACTGTTTAAATAGACAAGGTAAAAGAGTAGGGACACGCTTCATCAGCCAATAAGCGCCTTGAACTGTTGAACAAAGGCCTCTTTTCACATGGAGAAGGTGTGAGCATTCATCACTAAGTTTGCTCATCGCAGTTTAGCGATTACAAACTTACAATTAGAAATTATACTCAGTAACGAACTTATAGTGCCGTTTTTATTTTACTTTTTATATTGTTTTCTCGAATTATTGTACATGAAGGTTTCATTATAGTAAAAATAAAAAAGTACATTAGAATAGATTAGAACCTAGGTCCCGCTTAAAGCATAATGTAAATAATTGTTAGTATTTTATTACCTAAGTATCAATATTGTTTTAATGAATTGTTGTAAAAAAGTTGTACAAAAATAAAAGAATTTATCAATATTTTTACGATGTTTTTATTTGAGATTCTTTTTACAAATCAGTGTTTAATTTTAATCATAAAATACATAAAGTAAATGTATGCACAGGGTTGGAACTTTAAAGTATTTTTTTTTAATACAAGTCATCAAATTCAACCTTGTTTTTATAATAACAATCGTGAGACATGCTAAATTATCTGAAAATCGTGGGTTACTCACGTGAATATACTGAGAAAAGCTCTACTAGTTTCGAACCACAGGTAGCGGCGATGTAAGTAGGCTGCGCGACATCGCCGCGACTAGTAGAGCTTTTCTCAGTATATTCACGTGAGTAACCCGCGATTTATAGTTAAATTCAAACATATTGCTTTGTAGTATAGTTGTAATTATAATTTAATTACAACTACATATTATATAAAGCGGAAGAGTTTGTTTTTTTGTTTGTTTGTTTGAACGCGCTAATCTCCGTGACTACAAGTCTGATTTGAATAATTTTTTTTGTGTTGGATAGCGAGGACATTTATCGAGGATGGCTATATGCTATAAAACATCACGCTACGGCCAATAGGAGCTGAGTAGAGAGTGTGAAACCGCGCGGAAGTAGAATTATAAAGTTTCTGACTTAGCAACCGATTACTGTTTAATCACTGAGACGAGCCCAGGTTGATAAAAGCACTTTAAAATTAGATCATTAATGTACAGTTTTTCCTGTACCTCTACAGTTAGCACAGCGGCAGCGCGAGTGTGACCAGCAACATATTATTTTGGTTAGAATTTCTTTGGTGTTTACAATCAAATATTGTTTGTAGTCTTTTTTAAGGGGGAGAGGGGATTGAATAACTTCTCCCGCCCGGGTGAGGCGAGAGAGAGTGTCAGACTCTTACTGCCTAAAAACCACCCCGTTCCTACTCCTGCACTTCGATCCGGAGCCCTGGTAACCTGTTAAGTTGTCCGCAGCGCCGGGATCGAAATACCCTTGCAGTGTACTGCAAATCACTCATGCAAAAGGACATATCTAACACTAAATGAAGTTACCACAACAAACAAGAAATATTAATTATTTTTGAAAGTATGGCTGCCTCGTTGGCTGCACGGTCGCAAGTGCGACTGCCGAGCAAAGAGTCTCGGGTTCGATTCCCGGGTCGAACAAAGTATACCTAACTGGGATTTAAAAAAAAAATCTCAGTCGCACCACGGAGTCTAGAATTGAGCCCGGTATATGGCAATAGGCTCACCTCCTATTACATGGGACTCCTAACATAAATAGTGAAAAGTGGGTGTTACATTGTACAGTGCCATTAATTGCCGTAATGTGCACCTCTGCCTACCCCTTCGGGGATAAAACGCGTGATGTTATATTATGTGTACAACCACCACACTCTTAATCCTTTGTATTAAGGTTGCTTTTCGAGCTTTGATTGGAGGGAATCCCGATTTCCCTTGAAATTAATATACACCTAATTATAGGGAGGTACAACGATTAATCGTGAATATCTATCTTGTTAATTGTAATTGAGTGGTCGCTTGTACCTAACTGCTAAGTTGTGGGTTCGATTCCCGTATGAGTCAAAGTATTCAAAATTAGTAACTACTTTTAGATAGTAGGTTGCTTGCACAGTAGGCTTCCGAATTCGAGTGTATAGTTCGCATAGTGGCTGAATAACTTGTTACGGGTTTGATTCCCGCACAGAACAATTTTTGTGCCCTCCACATGTTAATTGTTCACAAAATCATAGTATAGGACAAAAATGAATTCTGTCTAGTTTATGGCAAGCCTTATTAGGTACATAGGACTCATAGTACATAACTAACGTTTTTTTTAAGGGGGGAAAATCATCGTATTTCTGCTCCCGCCTGAGTGAGGCGGGAGGGAGTGTCAGACTCTTACTGACTAAAAACCACCCCGTTCCTTCTCCTGCACATCGAGCGGGAGCCCCGGTAACCCGTTAGGTTTTCCGCGACATAACTGACGAATTGTGGGTGAACTACTTTTTATGTGCATTCTTCGGGGATTTAAAAAGGTGTGACATTATTGTAAAGATAAAAACAATCATAAATCAAGTCTTAAGTCCGATAAAAGTAGATCATCTGATTGTGATGTAGATTTCATTATCAGAATCAAGATTTAGGATGCGACAGTTGTAATTTAGATAATATTAATCAACCTTGCAATGTGTTTTGTGATAACGTCCTGTTTGTAGATTGTTGTCATAAATAATTGCATATTTCACTGTTAATGGAATGTAATTGCAGCTTAGTTACCTACCTGGGTACAAATTTCAATATTTAAATTAGTGAAGTTTGCCTGTACTGGTTTAACTCGTTGAGTACCTTCATTATAGACACAATTAAAGAACAATAGGTTGCGGTCACCGGTGTCCTCGCGGTGTTTGACAGTTTAATCCAGTTTCATTTTAATTTATGGAGGTACTGAGAAGCTCAATTATAGTTTCGAAGTTGAAACATACCTATTGTTTATATGGAAACTTTTAAGAACCGGACCCGAGCGTACGGTGCGTCGCGTTCCGCGCGCGCCTCAAAGAGCCATCAGACCACCACAGATGGGGCCCAACAGGGCCGATGCCGATTCGGAGTCGCGGAGAACGTAACGGGTAACCGGGGCTCCGGCTCGACGTGCAGGAGAAGGAACGGTGGTTTTTAGTCAGTAAGAGTCTGACACTTCCTTCCGCCTCACCCAGGCGGGAGGAGACATTCGATGATTTTCCCTCCTTAATGACACTCCCTCCCGCCTCACCCAGGCGGGAGCAGCCATTCGATGATTTTCCCCCCTTAAAAAAAAAGAGCCTCATATTTATGACCAACATTTCGCGACACAGCGATTGTCGCGCTGCTACTATACTATGAGCCTGCTATTATGAGCTAGCCTACTATACTATGCATGGCTTGAATCTAGTCGAGTTGCTCGTCAAACAGTTACGTGAGTAAACCGAAAACATAATAATTAATATCTATTTTTAAAAAGAGATAAGCGCCATATTAAACAGCCTTTCTTCAGCAGTTATGTCATGCTGATAAGTCCCAAGTAATAGAGGGTGAGCCTATTCGCAATTACCGGGTACAATTGTAGACTCCATGCTACCACGAGAATCAACGTAATTCTGAAAAAAAAAAACCATTCTTTTTGGCCCACAAAGGAAGCAAACCGGAGACCCCTGCGCGGCAGTCGCACTTGCGTTACAACAATAAAGAAACTAGAACGGCATTTCTACCAAAAAATAAAATAGCTAAAATACTCCTAAATTAATCTAATTACATTTCAAACTATTCCTCCGATGACTATCAATATGTTTTTTCAAACTTTGTTTATACACAGTCTTATAATTGCACTTATCACAATAAATAAACTTTCTCTCCTTCTCATGTTGCAACTCATGACTGGACAGCCCAGACTTCGTTGCACATCGGTACCCACAATCCGGAAACATACACATATATGGTTTATAGTTAAAGTGAATACGCTCATGTATCTTCATATTTGAGGTGTGGTATGTAGAATAATCACATTTAGAACACTTTATTTGATTAGTACATAAATGTGTCTTCTCATGTTGCTTAAAATGAGACAGCTTAGGAGTAGAATAACCGCATATGCTACAGCAATGTAGTCTCCGTTTAACAGATTCATGTTCGTTGACCAAATGAGTTAAAATTTCTGTATCGTTGATGAATGTTGCATGACATATGAAGCAAGATTTTTTTATGTTTTCAACACCATGAGATTTTATATGATCTTGTAATGTAACGGTGCTTTTAAATAGATACTTGCATATGTGGCATTTTAGTTTAGATGTTCTTAGTTTAATTATCCTGATACTTTTCATTTCGTTCCATTTATCACTATGCTTAGTCTTGACATGGTGTCGGACAGTTTGGATCGTTGAATAAGTATTATCACAGAATTTACAGAGGTATCGTCCTTGGCTATCTATGTTCTTGTACCATGTCTCGGTGCCCTGAAAATTATGGAAGAAAAAGGTCAAGTTGTAAAGTTATAAGTATAATACGGTGTTTGACAACATTCAAAATACTCTACAAAATATAGATATTTTACGAGACAATAGTCTAAAGAATACCACTTCTACTTTATTTTAACAAAATAATGTATATTATTTACATATTTCACAAAATAAAAATGAAGTTTTTTTAAATAATTTCACGTGAATCGAAACGCTCTGTGATTGGTGGTAACACTCGTGACGTCACACGCCAGAGAACAGGTGTTTTGCGCTATTGATTGTCGTTGGAGTTTACTGTGTTTTGGCTGTAATTTCTATTTGTAAACTATTTTCGAAGAATTACTTGTTACTACTTGCTACTACGGACATTGTTTATAACTAGTGTTATTAATATTAGTTTACCATACTAAAAATGGACGCAAATTTTGTGCAAGCCGATAGCAGCAACTTACCCAGGATAGACGCTTTAATGGTTGCACTTTTTTTTAAGAATAACGCTGATTATTATTCATCTGAACTAAAAAATGTGAAAACAGCAGTGTAAGTACCAAAGTGGAATCTATTTACATATTATTTACCCTTGTAAACTTATATGTTATATGTTGTAGAAAAAAATTCACGCGGCATATTTTAATCATTTGTTTTCATATATAATAAATGCTATTGTTGCATTATAATACCTTTATGTCGTTATATAATATTATTCCCGTATTAATTGATTTTAATAAGCCTTAATTTTTAGGTTAGGAACTTAGAGTCACATCTCTTATGTGGTTTTTGCTTTTGTTTACAGGTCTGCAAGGGAATCTTATGGTGACGACGCCATTGGCTATGTGCAAATCAAACGGGAGCAAGGAGTTTGCACAATGAAATGCAAAATATGCCCAGAGCATAAAGTTCGGTCAAAGGCATATAATGTAACAATGATTATCAATGAAGAAGATAGTGAAGTCATTAGCTGCCAGTGCCTTGACTGTGCTGCTTCAGCTGGGGGATGCAAGCATTCAGTTGCTTTCCTGATGTGGGTCCATCGTCGCACTGAGGAACCTGCATGTACTTCAGTAGAATGCTACTGGAAAAAACCTATTCTATCGCGAGTAGGGACCACTATGAAATATATCACTGTTGAGCAGATGTGTGAGAAAGCAGTGCCTCATAGACCAAGTTCATCTGAACTATATAATGAATTCATTTCTGTGGCCAAATCTAGAAATATAACCAAATGTGAATTACTTAAATATCAAAATGATTTTAAACATAAAGATGTCATGCAGTATTCATTACACTGTTTTTTGATGAATCAATCAGAGGAAACTAGTGCTGATGTTGATAAATTTGTTGAAGTGATGAAGACAAATATCACAGAGGCTGAAATAAGTGCCATAGAAGAAGCAACGAGAAATCAAGATAAAAGCAGTTTGTGGTATGAGATGCGTTATGGCCGTATCACAGCTTCAAAAGCATATCAAGTGAGTGTTTGCCGGACACCAGAAGGGTCATTGATTGCTACTGTGATGGGTGCAAAAATACCAGATACGCTAGCAATGAAAAGAGGAAGAACTTTAGAAAAGGCAGTCCGAAAGAAAGTTGCTTCCATATTGAACAAAAAAATAAGTATATGTGGACTTTACGTATGTAATGAGAGTCCCATGATTGCAGCATCTCCTGATGGCCTAACAAAGGATGCTGTTATTGAAATAAAATGCCCTACTCAGGCTAAAACCAAAGAGAACTATATAAAAAATGGAGTAATTACAGAAAAATTTAATGCACAGGTGCAATTACAAATGCATGCAACTAGCATGAAAAAATGCTATTTCTGTGTTGCAGATAGCAAATTTGAAGAGAACCAAAAGGTGGATATTCTTTTAGTGCATTATGATAGTGCTTATACCCATAATTTACTGCAAAAGCTGGTTACTTTTTGGAAAAATAATGTTTATCCAGTTTTGTACCGTAGCACTAGGGTGACAGATTAATAAATAAAAATGTTTTCTGTGCACATTGTTTTATTTATTTTTCAATAGGTATTTACATTTATTTATAAAACTTACAAATACATACACTACACTAGAAGTCCCCATGCCTTTAGTTTTTGCTACATTCATTGCTCTCAGTGAAAAGTGTGTTATGTAACATATCTATCCCAAGATGAAAGAATTTAACTAACTTTTATTTAATTTAACTAAATATGTGTACATAATAATATATAATAATACCTATGCACTGATTGTGATTTGACTTGTTTGATTAATTGTCTTGGCAAGCACTTTGAGCTGTGGTTAGTTGTTTTGGAGCCTATTCAATGCAAACAAACAACTTTCCTTCTTAAAGATAACATTCATACATCACATCCTTATCAGAGGTAGACAGAGCCAAAAGGCCACATTTAGTAAGATATTCTTTCTTAATTTTTTCTTTACTTAGTATTTCTAGGAAGATATAATATTAATATACAAAACATTACTTAATAAGAGAGTCTTGCAAATTTATTAAAGCACATGCAATAATAATTATATGGTCAATTATACGAAGTATGTTGGTGTTTATCACTGTATGTTGTTTTAGCATGTGGAATTCTCTCAAGCGCCTTATTACTCTTTCCACATGAATTCGCAGGCTTGCAATTATTTTAGTTTGTCGGACTTCAGATTTGGATAACTTTACACCAGCACTTACACTAGGCGGCCGTAATAGTTTAATGCCTTTACTATGAAGTATTTGTTCTAGGTGTTTGAAGCCTCTGTCCGCTAAGATGCAAGTTCCAGGTTGTAATTTATCTAGAAAGTCAGTGTTTTCTACTATTACAACATCACTCGTTCTGCCCCCAAAGCCTTGAGAAACATAGTTGACTAATCCATTAGGAGTGCAGGATATTAAATACTTCACAGTATTTCCCTTCTTGTACTCTGACCATGTCAGAGCCTGGTGTAGAGCCTTAGATGGTTTTTGTATATCAATTTCAAGACAATCAATAATGCAGCTGACATTGTGATAGTTATGTCTAAATGGTATTGGAAGATTTCTCTTTGTTAAGTTACTGTTTAAATTTACAATAAATGGTCTCAAAAAGCTACTCAATATGGGTATGTTATTTAAAAATATTTTACTGGCATATGATAGTGACATTCCAAAATTATCCTCTAATTCAGAAAATGTGCTATTTAGTCTAATTTTTTTCAAGCATAGCAAAATGTGTTCTACTTTTATATTTGTGTGTTTGTGCATTAACTGAATAATAAAATAACAATGTTCAGTAATACCAACATACATTAATGGTTTTTTTTTAATTAAATGTAGGGTATTTTTGAGGCACTGCAGTTGATGAACAGTGGAATTAGTATCCGTAGTATAACTATCAGAATCTGTAATCTTTGATGATGTAGGTACAAAAGGTGAAGAATAACCACTCTTAATGCTTGAAATTTCACTATCTGATTTATCACGTTCTAAGGCAACAACTTCTTTAGCTGCTTTTACAACTCCTGACTGTAACCGTTGAAGACTGCATTGTTCATATTTAAAAGGTGAAGTGTAACTCGATGTTGTGGACACTTTGAATGGTGATGTCGAAATACTTTTATTTTTGTTTCTAGTTTGTATAGCTTTGCTCCTATAATGCACATTTGATTTCATTGACACTTGGACAGACTTTTCTACAGCAATTATAGGATCTGTACACATTCCTTTATCTGCAGTCCTTGGTAATACTGAAAATACAAACATCCAACATTTATTATACAATCTTACTGATTCAATTTGTAATGGAAAATAAAATTTAGTTGTACCATACCTTCAGGCTCAATAACGTTTTGTGGCACATAATTGTCTTCTTGAAGCATTTCGGCATGGGTTTTAGTGGCACTTAAACTTTGTAAGCATTCTGTGACGATATCATTTTTTTGTCTCTTTATGGGCAGGTCTCGAGAAGGTCCACCAGACAACCGTCTTTTGCGATCCTCTTGACAATCGAATTTTGTTGGCACAGCTTCATCTGCCAAAAGCATCTTCTGATTGAAGCCCATTTTGTACATCATGTAGTTCTTTATGGCTGTTTCCAACTGAAATTCACATTGATATCCATTAATAAATAAAGTAAACAAGTGAAGTATTCATGTTGTAAAAAGTTATTTAGACTAAGTTTGACAAGACTAATGAGTAGCTCAGGAAACAAAAATAACATTAGAAAATAGATAGGTACTATCTATTAAGTATAAAGTTAAGTGCTACTTACATTAAAGTGATCTTCACACATAAAAATATTTGTACGCATCGAGACACTGTTTGGCTCTCTTCGCGCCAACCGTAACCACAATTTACGTTTTTTGGGATTCGTAGGAACAGATAAAAATACTTTTTCCGGTGTTTTTATTGATGTATTTGTACATTGTGGCACTACACACCATTTATAAGACATAATTTCTAATAAATACTGAAATATGATTTAATAACAAGCAATACCTTTGAATATTCAAGCAAGATGGATTGTTGTACTAGCGTGTGACGTCACACGCGTCACGTGACTCGAGCCATTACAATGAAATCGTTTCTGCCGCGCTTTTTACAATTTAAATTGTAACTTCGATGTTTATCCTAAATACTGTAAATTTTGCAGTAAGATTAATTTTGTACGTATATTATATACTAAAACAACCATTTAAAACGATTTCCAAAAATTGTCAAATACCGTATTAAGATAGGGTTCATTTGACCACAGGGTCGACGAGCATGAATGTAATGATCAAAAGCCAATGAGCATCGTACTAGATGATGTACTAATTTCTGATTGTCATCAGGCTAAAGTGTGAGTTTATGCTTGTATGTATAATTGTATTGTATATTATGTAATAAATGCAATATGTGTTGTGATTATTTATTATAAAGAGTTCAAGATAAGATAAAATTAACTTAAACATTTATTTTTACTTACCACAGGGAAAATATTTTCATTATTTACATGTTGTTCACAATTATGTTTTTCCCTGCAATCGTTCTTAAGATTTATCATTTCCTGTAATCAAAATGACAATTTAACAAAATAAATGCTTATGGGTGGTTCCAACCTATAAAGCAGTCTGTAAATGTCACTACCTGGCAAAGAGACGGTCCCATTCCAGGTTGGGTGACAAATCAAACTATTTCGGTTTTTCAAAAATTCTCAGTAACAGCTCAGTGTTTGAGATTGGACAATGACTTTACTTACTATATGGGATGCGTAACAAAACTGACGAAAAGTAGATGTTCCAATGAAGATATGCACCTCTGCCTTCTACTTTGATAATTAAAAATCGAAACAGTAAGAGTTTCGTTTACAAGAGTAAACAACAGAGCAACTAATTTTAGAACATTGTTTAATAATTCCATGCTACAAGAATGCATAACCACAAGAAAAATATACACATTCTAATTTGTAGAAATATTAAACAAAGACAGGCTGGAATCTCGCCTATTGCGCCTAAAAAAAAAAGTTTTTCCTACTACAAGCTCGAAAGACGAGCGATGATATTTATTTGGCCTGATGCCAAATTTCCGTGATACTGCATTACTAAAATCGTGACTAACAATTACAATTTAAAACCCGATTATACATACGATATTTTTATATTTTTTTATATCTTTTTTATAGTTTTTACTGTCACTTACTTGTTGATTTATATTTTCATCAGGATTATTTGATGGTATCGTAACTTTTGTGCCGCATTTCGTAATGTTTTCGCACAATGGGTCCACTTCAAATGACTCAAAATACTCGATTTTTATTTCCTCTTCTTCTTCACTTACATTCATTGTATAATTTTGTTATTTTCTGTTATAAATTTCAAAAAGATTCCTGTTAGAAATCGCACAACAACAAACAATGAATGACAGTTCACAAAGTTGAACAACCTTTTGATAGGAGTTCAGTGTTGCATAGCTTTGTACTAAAACTACTAATAATTCTTATTCGTTTTTAATTGCTGAGGCCAAAAGACGTAGTTAATAACACAGAGTCTCAAATTTTATTCAAGTTTAAAAATATAAATTCAATTAATAACAAAATCTATTCCAATATGTCCAAAATCATTTGCTGTAATTTACTAAATAGGTAGAAAAAAATATTAGCGGCAATACGATTTCTGCGCGTCCTTCTCTTCATTCGTTCGTTACTCAATAGATTCCATTCGTTCAATCAGTCTGCTCGCGACCGCCGCAGAAGGAGGTATTGTCGGTTTCGTTTCCTACAAAACGCGTTTCGGTGTGATTTGTGTTTTGTTTTGTGGTGCACGATGGCTTACAACGGTAGTGGTGGCAAGAGACTGTGTACAGGGACCGACCTGGACGTGGAAAGGGTGAGTAACAATATTTATGTACACAATTGTCAAACCTATATCTACGTAGAGCCGTCGAAAATGGCCGTGTTTTGTACATTTCCCGTTCCATGTTCGCGTTTCAGTCACGAAACTCTTTTGTAATAGTTCCTGTAATCATTCGATTTATGATAATGATCGTTTGTTGACTGTTAGAACGTTTAGTTTACGCTTCTTGTCATGATCACGTTACGTTGTTGATTTCTCGTTTTGAGGTTACGTTTTGTTGACACATGATTAAATTAAAAAATAAATGTAGGTACGTTATGGATTTATATTTTTTTACTTTAATTTAATTTTCCGCTAGGGATTTTTCTTGGTGCGACGTTTACGAAATAAACGAAAATAGCTTCTTGCCCAGACACTGTCAATTAATGTGATTGACATCGCTCGGTCATTAGGCCTTTTGGTGTTCTCGCTTCGCGGGAAACAGAAGAATTTCCCGTTTTCTAGGTCGATAACAATACCCCAGTACCTGCCGTGTTTCGTAGTTCAACAGCTAACAGATCTATAAATAGGAAACTAATTAACTATGCCCAATTTCCTAAAGATAGTTTTTTCTTTTTTTACCGGCACGCTATTTTTATTGCCGTTCCGAAGTTGAATCTTTGTAGGTATATCTCAATATATTTGTCCTACTACCTTCAATGTTTCACAAGTTTCCTCTTTTAGAATCCAATTGAATTTCGTCAATTCTAAGTAGACAATATTTTTTGATATCCTAAGTCCTACGCGAAAAATGTATTCCATCTATCCATATTCCATAAAAATTACTACCTAATTCACACGTGGAATTAATTTTATGGCGGCGTTTTTATGATTACGATTAAATTACAAAAGTAAAGAAGTAGGTAGTCGTAAAAAAGCCTACAAATTATTTGCTACTAAAACTTTATAATTACAACTGATTTAAATATGTAAGTAAAACAATAAATACTGATAAATATATGTAACATAGTTTTTAAATAATTTTTATTTCAAACCTTTTTAAGTTCGATAAATGAAATAACAAATAAGCCATAGACAAAATACTTTACTTCTAATTTCAACTAATTTGTGATACTGGCCTTTGATGACTGTCTTACAAGAGATCAAAGTGTACCAAATTAATTTACGGTCATAAAATGTTTATTGCAACATTCATTACTCTTGTTTCCTTGTTTTGATTTGAAAATTTGATTGAGTTCCAATTTGCGCGCCCATTGCGTTTTAATAGTTAGCAGCTAAGTTTTATAAAAAAAATACCCAGTCGATTTTATATGTGTACAAAAGTGACGATTGTCGAGGACGTAACGTAATAGTTAAAAGTATCATAGTTAATAAAAAAGGGAATGTTTATACAAAAATATAGACGGCGAACTTTGATAACGTTGTTATTAAAAAATATTTGAGTAAATCTCCATAATTCTCATTAAAATACTCTGAATAACAACAAAATGTGATCCTAAGCCCCCACTATGTTCTCGCAAACTTCAAAGACGTTCAAAGGCTCACGCACTTTGAAGATTTTCAGCAAATTTTAATTTAATTACCTTAAATAATTGAGTATTAATATGTCCCCTCTGTATTTTACGTTAAAACACAAAGTTATTTACATTTACAACAAAATATGAACGTGCACAAATGTTAAGTAAAACCTTTTTGCGCGATATATTAAATTCTGCACTATGGTTTTGATTGACACAAAGAATGGTTGATTGACCCATTCACTCAATGCGTTAACCTGTATTCGGCGCGTGTTTTTTTGTTTCGCTTCACGATGCATAACGCGTATTTCCGTATTGTCGTATATGGAATAATGAATGCTAGTCCGTCGCATTAAATAGTAATACTGAATCGATTTAATTTCGGTTATCATCGATAAAAGTATCGAATGTACATTATATTGTATCGATTTATATCTAAGTCGTTTATCCCCGTTACACGCTCACTAAGGGAATGATTTCATCGGCAAAATATTTTACGACCTTTTTTATCGCACTATGAAAACCTTAAATAAATAGTGTAGGCGGAAAAAGTGCTTTTTTATATTATATGTATCAAAGTAGCAGGCATGACTCGATTTTCTAATCGATTCCATTTTTATACGCATCATCAAACTATCTAGTTAATACTAGACAAAGTCCACAAATTGGTTGATAACTAATAAACAATATAATAATAATATTATTATTTATCGACGGAATTGTAACTTCCTTTGATGGTGTCAATTTCTCGGAAATAATAAATATAACAATGATAAAAATAAACGTTATCTATTCATCTCTTTCAGTGTATGGTGTTCATTATCATACTAATTAGCATGAATAGGTAGTTTTACATTGACAATAAACTTTAGCTTCCTATCTATGGATAATGCTTACGCAATCCGTTTGACAATCATATTATTTATGGTCTACTTATAAAGAATAAACAAAATATTAATCAATTGCAAGGGAGTTACTTTAATTCTAATGAGAAATTGCCCTTTATTAATTTTTTAACGCCACTTATCTGCCAGGAATCTCGAAAGATATTGGCTGACTAATATTCGAATACAGCTAGATTAATTTCTAGCTGCACTGGGACTCCTAGTGTAGCTGGAAACCATTAGAGTCCCAGCCGGGGAGTCATATTCATGAGCTGCGTGCGTGCCGTCGGATTTTCTTATGTCTCACGATAGTTATTGTACAAAAATATATGACAAAGTACCTACTAGTAGCAATATCATTTCTTTTTTTAATTTTTAATCGGCCATGTTCATACTAGTTATGCCTAAATTCAGTTTATTTATGTGAGGGCTTTATCAGAACGAATATGTTTTATACCGCCACGAATGTACAAGCTCTCATTCATTACGAAATAACAAATAATTTTATCTCCGTTAGTGATTATTTATATTATGATAAAATATGCTCATTAATCAGATATGTGTAATCCAATATGCGGTATCATATGTGTAGAAAAATATTAGATTTTCAGATTAAAGCGAGGTGGATTGACCTCTTTGTTTGGTTTGGTCAAATTAAAATATTACCAAATGTTTGTGTTAACGTAACCGTCCGTAGTTACTTTGCTAAGCTTCGGATGAAATAATTTACCTTTTCGTTAAAGGTTTGTTCATAAGTAAATACCAATAATAATTCTCAATGAATCACCAGTCAAGTCCGAAGTATTTTGGTTCATTTCATTCCCCCCTTTCTTTGCAAAAAAATCAAAAAGTTGCACCAACTCAAACGGATATAATTGCCAGCGAAACATAGCTTGAGCCATGAAAATAAAGCAAAACTAATGTATGCAAACGTATGCACACAAAAACGTTGGACGAGCGTAAAAAAAGTATGATAAAAAAGTTTTTATTTACGATTTCCAAGTCTATGTCCGACCCGCGACCGCCGACGGTCAGAAGGTTAAAAAATAAAAAGTACTTCGACTAAAATAAAGAACGATGTTAAAAATATTCTCGTTGACATTTTTTCTAAATTGGCAAACTCGATCGTAGAGAAATGTCAGTTTTAAAATGAGAATTATTATTTGGCGGGAATTAGGCGAGTTACAGACGTTGAATGTAATTTGTACAAATAACTATTAACTTTATTTATTTGTATTTAAAACAATGATAATGCTAACACGTCGACTTGATTGATTTAAGCAATTGGCGCTAGTGAATACTATGTCTTTTGCCAAACAGAATAAATTATTAATTGAACCGATTGTACGGTAGAATTTCAACGTGGAATGTTTGAACGATTATGTTCTCTTAATTCTGTAATTACTTTTTATCATAACAAATAAATATAATTAAGTACCTAAGTTTTTTTTAAGGGGGGAAAATCATCGAATGACTGCTACCGCCTGGGTGAGGCGGGAGGGACAGTCAGTCAGACTCTTACTGACTAAAAGCCACCCCGTTCCTTCTCCTGCACGTCGAGCCGGAGCCCCGGTTACCCGTTAGGTTCTCCGCGACTCCACCTGTCTAAGTTTAACTAGTACATAGCTACTACGTTTATATTTGACACATGACATCAGAAAATAACCAAAATCTGAAATGGAGCAAATTAGAAGAGTTTTCAGCCAATTAATTTTAACTAACAAGAAGTTTGTCAATCAAACCAATCCATCTTCTTGAAATAAATCATAAAACACCGAACAATTGAACTAGTAATTTCATTTCAATTTCGGTTCAGACACCAGTCGCACGCGGTGCCATCAATTAACCACCAAGCCATCCCGTCATCTGTGTTCTCTAATCATAGAAGTTGCAGAACTTGTACAATAACAGATTTATTCTAATAAAACGTCTTTAATTCACATTTAACACGTGTTTTCATCTCATGATAAATGGATCTCTTGCATGCTTTGTGTTTTTTTTTTTTTAGAAATAGACAGATGTGTGTTTCGCCCTTTTTTTTCTGGTCGTGGGTATTATTGATCTTAAATGCGTGTGTTGTGGGTTTGATGACCGATAATGTCACTGTTTTGTGTTGATAGTATATACAGTTCATAATCATTTCTGCATGGGACTACCTAATTTGGAATGTTGATTTAGTTTAATTTTTAAACTTAACTGGTCACAATAAGATGTCTATGATCGCTTATCACAAAAAATCAGAGACATATTGTCTAGACAAAAAGAAAGCAACATGTTAACTCTACTGCCGAACAAAGCGGTAACTCGTTATGCTAATTTACCAATTTATTCATAAAATTTGACGCGCCAATACCTATGCGCACGATTCGATTTTAACGGTTCTTCCATTAAACTTTCTAACGTCTTCTTTTCAACTTCAAAAATAATTACTCTAAGATTTTACTGTCGAGTGTTGCCAGCAATAAAATTGTGCACACTATTTCTTGCAGTAAATAAACGAAGACGTTGTGATCTCGAGATTTCTCATGAATGAAATAAAAAGCACATGGTTGCAGTACAAATAACTCATTGCTGAGTCTCGTTGCGTGTTTTATTCTTTATGTTTGTCGGGGAACATGCGCTGGCGACGCAA